GTGTGTGTGTGTGTGTGTGCGCGTGCGTGCGTGCGTGCGTGCGTGTGCGTGTGCGTGTGCATGCACGTGCGTGCGTGCGTGCGTGCGTGTGTGTGTGTGTGTGTGTGCGTGTGTTCGTATGCATGTGTGTTTGTGTACCGTTCGTGCTGATGTTTACACTAAATGATCACAAAAGCCACAGGGCACGATACACATGCGTGCTTGCACTTGCAACCTGGCACAACCCCTGGCCGGCACGATTGCCACAGCGACGCGCTCGTGGCCCTCACGTCTGCGCCCGCATCTCCAATCGGGTTGCCAGCCAGCACCAGCCGCGACAACAGGGCATGGGCCCCGACGCCGTCCAAGGGCCCGCCCTGCGGGCCGTCCCCCGCCCCAACCGGCTGCTGCTGCGCGCCGCCCGGCGCCGCCGCGCCCGCCCCCGCCGCGCCTGCGGCGGCGGCCCCTGCGTCCGACGAGCAGCGGCGCCGCGCGGCGCAGGGCGGATCGTGCAGCAGGGACACGAGGCAGAGGGGCGCGTCGGGCCCCAGGCGGTTGGCTGCCAGGTCAAGGGCGGTGACGCCCCGGCAGCAGGGCTGCAGCAGCGCGGCGGCGAGGAGCTGCGGGGGGCAAACGGAGCGCAAGGGGTACCGATCAGATGCAAAAAGCGGCCGCAGGCCAGAAACCATTTTGGGGACAGAAAGGCAAGGATACCTACTCAGCACACTGTGCCACTGTTCTTTGAATAAATCGTGGGGGCCCCACCGAGGCTTCCGCAAGCGTCAGGCTGCTGCCCCCTTCAGGCCGCACCTGCAGCGCCGCGCCGTCCAGCCCGTCGTTGCGCAGCGACAGGGCCCCCAGCTGCGGCATGCTGCCCAGCGCCTGCGCCAGCGCCGGGACCTGCGGGGGGTCGTTGCAGAGCGTGAGGATGCGCGACGGCGCAACAAAGATTGGATGATGTGTGCGTGGGCCTGCGGGACGCTTGCTTTGCATTCCCTTGCTGTCACTATCCACAGCACACGAGCGCCGCGCTTGCTGACGCATGATATCCCACGGGCCCCTGCTTCAAAACATATGCACGCATAAATTTGCCCCATGCGCCACCCAGCCTGCACCCACCTGCGCAGGCCCCGCCAGGGCGTGGCTCAGGTCGAAGCTCCGCCCCGCCCCCTGCCTGCTGTACCGCTTCAGCAGCCGCCCCACGTCCCCAAATCCATAGTTTGGCGGCAGGTCGCCGGGCGGGGGCGGCTGGTGCGCGATGGCGTCGTCGATGTCATCTGCAGACGGCACCTTCAGACGCCGCGCGCCGCCGGCTGCGACGAGTCGCTCAAAGTCAAAGCGGCAGGCTTGCCCCTCCTGCTGCTGCTGCTGCTGCTGCTGCTGCTGCTGCTGCTGCTGCTGCTGCTGCTGCTGCTGCTGCTGCTGCTGCTGCTGCTGCGACGACTGTTGGCGCGCGGCGGCGCCTCGCGGCGACATCAGCACGCGCGGCCGCTGCCGCTGCTGCGACGCGGGCCGCGCCGCCCTCGCGCCGACGATCGGCCAGCCCAGCGCCTGCGCGGCGAGCGGCGCCGGCGATATGGCCGCCAGCTGCCTCGGCGAAAGGACACTGTGGTGGTCTGGAGGGTAGAGGCCGGGCGCCGCGCTGACGCAGCGGCGCTGCAGCTGCGGGCGGGGCGATGCGCGCAAGCTTACGCGTTGTCGGAGTTGCGGGGCCAATAGAGCGGCCCTCATGAACGGCTTGAATGCATTGCGCCTCCTTGCAAATGCTCGTCAACTGTCAATCCAACTGCGCTGCTGCGCCAGCTTTCGCCCACTTGCCTGGTCCAGAGGCTGCTGCGCACACGCGCTAGACGTGTTGGCGACGCTCATGCGCCCCCAGCCGCCCGACGACGCCCGTTCCTCTGCGCGCCACCGCCGCACGCGTGCGCTCTCGAGCAGCCGCGCGCGCAGCGGCGACGTGCGGCTGCCGCGGCCGTGCAGCAGAGACTGCAGGGGGTCGGGGACGCCGCCGGCGCTCGTCACGCGCCGCTGCTTGGCTGCGCCACCAGCTGGCGGCTCAACCCCTTGAACATTAGCGGCGGCAGGCGCCCGCGAGCTTGTTGGCCGGGTCGGGCCTGCGCCCGCCGTCGCCGGCCTGCTCGCGCCCGCGGCAGGGGTCGCGCCTTTGTTGGCGGCCCGCGCGCCGCGCTTGCCGGCCGCCTGCGGCGGCGGCGCAGGCTTCGATGGCAGCGTCTCAAAGGCGCTCGCCAGCAGCAGCTCCGCCTTTGAGTAGTGGGACGCCACCACAGGGGGCGCAGTGATGGCTTTGACCTGCAGGTGCACCGCCTCTGCGGCCGCCGGCAGCGGCAGCAGGCCGGGGCCGGGACCGGGGCGCCTCGATTGCGACGGCGGGCGCGGCCCCTGCTGCTCCGCCTCGAGGCCGCGCCTGGCCCGCTCCGCCGCCGCCGCGGCCGCCGCGCTCGGCGGCGCCGGCACCGAGCCCAAGACCGTCAACAGCACCCCGCCGCTGCAGCCTTGCCCCATCCGCGCGGCGGACCCGGTAACATCACCACTGCTCACAGCGTCCTGCCCCGGCGGCTCCCGGCCAAAGGCGTGCGCCACCTGGCGCAGCGGGAAAATCTGGGTGGCCGTCCGCAGCGCTGGGGGCTCTGGACTCGAGGAGCGCTGCCGAAGGGAGGGGGGCACCGACGCCGCCGTTAATCATCACCGATCCCATCCTGAATGGCGGCAGACAGAACTCCTGCCAGGAGTGCAGCACAGTGTGCCGCATACGGCAGGCAAGTACGGAACCACAGCCCTACAATGCAAACAGACATGCACACGAGCATGGATACTACAGCCCCTGCGACACGGCACGCTGCACCGTGTGCCGAGGCCCGCGCGCGCCGCCCAGGCATCCCGTTGACCGTCAAAGTTCAGTGGCTGCATGCATGCTGGCGCACCAGCTGCGCGCAGGCTCACCACCAGGATGTGCGACAGCATCGCCTCCTCTTCCTCCTCCAGCCCGTCACCCTCAATTGACGCCCGCGGGCTGTGGAGTGGCAGCGCCGCAGTCGCCGCCACGCGCCCGCCGGCCGGCGTGACGCCGCGG